TGTGCACAGTGTGCAGCGTGGTCCCCAGCTCAGAGTCAGTGCTGAGTGAGTGCCAGTGAGTACCTGGTAGGTCAGGTGAGGGTGGTGGGACTCGGTGACTGAGGAAATCTGATCCTCAAGGAGGGGTCCAGTCACATCTGTGAGTGATGGGTCTGAACTGGGAGAGGAAGGGAGACCTTACCCCCGCCCAGGTGCCCTGGGCAGGACGGCTATGGGAGGAGCACCGTGAAGTCAGCTCTGTGCAGGTAGAGTAGGAGGTGCCCTTGAGACATCTAAGTGCAGTGTCACGAGCTCACAGAGGAGGTCTGGGCCCGGGCTGTGCATTTTCCTATAATCTCAAACCCTGAGAACGCCGAGGTATTGATCACTGAACGTGAAGACATACTTTACAGGACAAGTGAATAGTAGCATCATTTCTGTCATCAAAGCTCACGTCTCTTTATTCATCACTCACTTTGCTAATTGGGTACTTACAGAGGTCACTTCACCATCCTCCAGTGGGCTCAGGCTCCACAGAAAAGAGCTGGTGATTCTCCCTCTTTTCCAGAAGAAGACACATTTAGCTGGTAGCCTTCTATACCTCGCCAGGCTTAGAATTTTAATTTGCTGTTTTAATTCTATTTTCTGTTGGCCATCTCCTGACAGGAGAGAGGTTCTACCTCATGGTCATGTATCAGTAAGCTGTTACTGAGAATTGCTGATCTGATCCATAGTGTATGTATTCTATTATCTTTGTAGAGTACTTATCATTTTTCTGTCTTTGCCCTTTAATTTTGTATGCCCCTTCAAGTATCTATCCTATTTGGGGCCTTTTTTTTTTTAATTAAAAAATGTCGCTTTGCCGTTAAGGAAACAAAAGAAAAGAAAAAATACACATGATAGCTAAGCCTAGAAAATATCTAGTGTGTTTTCTGTCTCGGCAATAGAGGGTTGTATAAACTCGTGAAAACCTTCATTACACAAGTTTCTTAAAATGCTGATTAAGAAATAAAACCTTCCCTCCTCCTCATCTTTCAAGCTGCACAGCTAATTGTCAAGAAACTGAGGGGAAATCCTCAGAAGCCAAATCAAACCAGAAAGCAGGGTTTCTGGGAGATACGCGAGCCTTAGAAGCCCTGGGGTGCTGGTTGGCTCCTGAACTGAGTGTTAGTTGCCCTGGCAGGAGGGTAGGAGGTGAGCCCGAGGCCTCTCACACTGGGAATTGGATGGCTCATCCTATGTAAGGCCAAGCACATCCTGAGAAGCCTGTGTAATAAAGGGTGAATTAGAAAGAAAGAAAAAAAA